AACGGATGTGTCGCCGTTCGCCAATTCAACTTTCGCCAATGTTCGCCAGTAGACATTCGCCAATAGGCGAATGTCCAAAAAAGTTGGCGAATGTCAATGAGACATTCGCCAATCGACCAATTGGCGAATGTCGAGGGGACATTCACCATAATTGGCGAATGTCGAGGGGACATTCGCCATAACTGGTGAATGTCGTGCGGACACTCTCACTCTCACTCTCACTCACACTCTCGCACACACATATACTGAGGACAGGTACTGGCGACTGTCGCCGAGACATTCGCCACAATTGGCGAATGTCGTGTGAACAATGGCGAATGTCGTGTTGACATTCACCATAATTGGCGAATGTCGTAGGGGTACTGGCGAATGTCGTGTGGACATTCGCCAATCGCCAATATGGCGAATGTCTATTGGCGAAAGTTGAATTGGCGAAACGCGACTTTACCTTATGATATACTTTAATCGCAAAAGATATGATAGAAAGGACGACTCTTAGTTCCTCACCCTCCCACGTATGTCTCAATAGTGGGCACTCATTTCAATGAATTTCTTGAACTATATAACAGTTAATCTTCAAACTTTGCGTAAATAATCTATAGACACTACAGAGTATCTGATGTAATTTTTGGAATGAAAAAAATATTTCTCGGTTGAGTTATGAATGTTTTTTTTTTTTGGAATGAACCTCACATTCGAAAAATGACTCTTGATCATAAAACTACTGTATTCGAGTGATCACTAGGCGCCAACGGACAAAATTTATATCAGAGGTAGAAGGGAGCTAGAGAGCTACATTTGTGCAAAAGAAAAAGGTTTTCATTTCATGAGGTTTTCATCATCTACCGAACCATTCAATGAAAGAATCTGAAACTTGTTGTGTGATCAGCATCCAGTGAAACATATGACCATACAAAATTTGAAGTCACTATCTATTCTTGAGTTGCGGAAATGATCTTAATTTTATGGAGTACAGCCATCAACAAAAATATGGTTTAAATCACAAATGTATTTTTATTTTTGTAGTTAAATCATCACAGAAGAACAAACCACAAGATCGAGAAAAATAGGAAAGTATGATATCAAATTGAAATACTGATTTTCTTCTCTCTTTTCTCTGTCTCTCACAGTGTGAAAAAACTTCCTACGTCATCCAAATATTTCTGATAAACAAAAAAAAAGAAGAAAATCAAACGAGCCGTTTTTCCTATGAAGAAAAAAAAGAAAACAAACTCAACAAGGACAAAAAAAAGAAAACGTAATTTTGTTAATGTAAGTACGGATTGGAAAATATGCGTTGTTTGTTTGTTGTATTTGTTCAATTTTTCACATCAAATACTATTCGGCCAGCTCCTATAAGAAAAGAATAACAATAGTACATAATTCGTTTACTACAACTTCAAAATAATAAGACAAAGACTTGATTAACTCTCTCGCTCTACCATATTTTTTATAACATTCATAAATATTATTAACCTACCATAATAGCGTTAACAATATCATTGTTACATTTTTTCAATGCTTTAATAGCTTTTGCCCGCGTTGTTTTTGATTGATTCATAACCAGTTGAATATCTGTTTCTTCTACACCTTCAGCATCAACCTAAAACTCAAATTATATATCTAAAACATCAATTCTAACTATTTAATTTAATATTATTACTTCTTCTTCATCTTCCGATTCTTCTGGTATTGTTGGTTTAACTTTTGATTCTGCTGATGTTGCAACTTGAGACTCTAAATTTTTAAATTGATTAGCGGCAGCAATTTGAGCACGCTGAGTTAAATCTTCAATCTAGAATATAATTAAATTATAATCAAAAAATGAATTATATATAAAGAAACAATAAAATGAACCTTTGCTTCGCCAAAAACAATGTATGTATCCGATGCTGGTGATTTATAAACATCAGGTTTTTGAATAACAAATAAAATATTCTTTGATTTTCGAATAGTTACACGAAGTATACCAGTAACAGGACGTAGACCTAATTTGGCCATAGCTTTTCTTGCTTTCTTTTCACTTCTTGTTTGCTTCTGTTTTGATTGCATTTCTTCTCGAATGCCTGTTGCTTCAGCTAGTGGATGCGGTTTTCCAGCTTCGCCACCTGCTGTTTGATCACCTTCTGTAGCTGATTCATCCGAGTCACTTGATGATTCAGAGTCTAAAAGTAAAAAAAGAAACTTATTTCAGGGTTCACACAGATTTCAAAGAGCAAAACGTACCATCTTTAACATCAATTGGTCCTTCCGTTGTTGGATGAGTTTCTTGAGCGGTTGCAGATGCTTCTGCTTGAACACTCATGGCTGGCATGACTATGATGTTTGTTTTCTTCTCGATAAAGGTGTAATACACAAAAACTGAGACAGATCTAAAATGAAATGAATAAAAACGTAAGGTTATCACTATCGACTTTCGGTTTCGTTGAAGAAAATAGGTGAAATGTTTATATGCACATGTAAAAAAGAGCTTAAACATAGCATTAGCGAGCAAATATAATTACGAAATAGCTGGTGCTGTTGTCTAATTAGAAATTATGTTTTTTTCTCTATGATCAACAGAATGAACTAACTTTACTACATTTCTCTCAATTCTTAAAATAGTTCTTCTTCACTTTTTAGATATCGTATTTAGTCTGAAGTGAGCTCGTGTCTATCGTGTTAGATCTTTCTTTCAGTCCCTTTCTATCACAAAAAATAAAGTAAACAACAACAAGCGTAATCTCTAAAATATCGAATAAAAAAAGTTGTCTAATTGATACTAGTAAAAAAACATATCTAAAAAATAATACACAAACACTAATAATCATGATTTCATGACAAAATATGAAAATATAAATCATACTATTGTGAAGAAGGATTAATGTTTAACTGTGTAGAATTAGACTCAATGCAAATGTATTTTAAACAGAGATCACAAGAAAAATAATAGCAAATGTTTTAATATCAAGACATACACACATCTGAGCTAATTTTATTTAACATACATAAAGTATCGAAAATAGAAAGAACAAACACAATTATTTATTTACAAACTTTAATAATACCAAAATATCGATAAAGTCATTAAATAAATAATATAAAGTTTCATTGAATCTTTAGGTTAATTACTTTTTAGCAGATCATTTTGATTTCTGAAAAGTATAAACGAAAACAGCATCTGACAACCAATACGATTAATAAGTTTGAAGCAAAAAAGATGTGTCATGTATGCCATTAAACTATTGCCGTATCGACAACTCATGTTTGTAAACGTCTTCTAGAATTGTCAATACCTATGTGAGGAAAAACGTTTGCTAGAAAAATCTTTACATTTCCCACCTTACTTTCTTACATTTGTCAAACAGCATAACGTTTATATAGAAAAACATCTCAAACTCTAGTATATACAGTAGGTCTCGTTTTCTGTTTGGTCTTATAAGTAAGCATAAGTTGTACAAGTAAATTTTCTATAGATCATAGATCCCAACCACATTAGATAACCTATTTTTGCTTACTTTTGATGAAATGATTTTGTTTTCAATGCTATTAAAATTTTCGCTATTAACAAAACTTTTGTTCATGCTCTTTAAACAATCATTGTCTAACATTGTTTTATACAAGTATCATCTAAATATCAACGAACGGTATTTTAGAAGATGCTGGCATAGAAGGGATTAGACATATATATTTTCATGATCATGAACAGTGAGATATTATTTGCATCGAAAAATATTGTTTTTACTATTTTATCGGATGAAAATCCGAGATAAGGACGGTTTATTTTCAACTTTAAATACGAGTGCTGTCATAATACGGATACAGGATGTATCCGCTGACTATAGTAAGAATGTGGAGAATACTAAATCCTACGGGATTGTTCATATTCTTACTCTAAGATCTGTATAGTCAGCGGATATATCCTGTATCCGTATTATGACATTTCTGTTAAGTACGTACATTACCTCATTCTCAATATTTTCAGTTACTGGATCATGGAAATCGAAACTAAAACTTTCCTACCGCTATGACTGACTTCATTTACGATATCTTACTAATATTGTGTTCAAATTTAACAATCAAGTCATTTTAATTGTCTGAAATAAAGAAACACATGATTCACAATGAAACTAACTCAATTACTCATATGGATTGGAGAAACAGACCCTTTGCTCCTATATGCTATAAACTGGTGCGCCCAAACGATAGTTAAAGAAAGAAAATAGCCACAATTTTAAAATTCGAATTTAAAATCTCAGCCTAAATCTTTTGCAAAAAGTGTTTTTCAGGACATAGGTAAAGATTTGATCGTTGTAATGAAATTATAGAAATATCTGCACCTTTATTACACAACTTTATATTTAAACGAGAAATAAAAGCAACTAGTTCAAAAAGAAAGTCTTTTAAAATCTAGAGACTCAGTGTAAATCGGCTATTAGCCATATGGAAATAGTTTAGATATGAACCTGGATGATGGCTATATCAAAAGAAAATAATTTCTCTCACATCATTCTTAACTATCACACCTACTGTGAGAATCACGTTACCCAGACATTAATTGTTCTCTAATGTGTGGGCTTAATTGACGAAATTACGAAAAAAAATCAAAATCATGATATTACAACGCTACAAATATTTTTAGTAATATGAAACATTATTGAACATTTGACAGAAGAAGACAATGATAAAATTTCATTTTCATGTATAAATGAAATTGAAGATATTTATCAATAATTATTTTATTGCGACAACTAATAATTTTGATTTTGAAATGATTTACAGAGAAAATAAACATTGACATATTATCAGATAAATTTTCCAATATGGTAGACATACTCGAATCTAAAATAGTATCAAATAGACAAGTGATAATTATATTTTTGATATCTTATCTTAATACTACAATTGCATTAACAAAGAATGATTTGCATCAAGAAAATGTTCAGTTATTTGCCACTATTTATGTGTAGTCATAATTCAAACAAGATTTTTTTTTCTTCAAATAATTATTTTACACAAAATTGAGCAAAAAAGAAAAATTAACAACAACAATACAAGCATAGAAACACTGTACAAATAAAATTAATAGAGAGAAACACATACGGATAAATATCAAGAGTAAATTGTTGAGAAATAAAACAAAAAAATCAAAACGTTCAAAAAAAAACACGTACAGATGAAAATTTAACTATGTTCAAAATTCGTAAACAACAAATGAAAGAGAGAGATTGTTTTAGCTACAAAAAAACAACACAGACACACTGAAATGAATAATCACTGAATAAGAAATTACTGTCATTGTAAAATGCTCTCTTTATTTAACGATCGGAATAGACAAAGAGAAGCAAAAGAAAGATGACAACAACAAAAATATATCTGAACGAAGTACATATATATACATATATATACCTTTTTAAACATTGGAATATTGTACCAGCTGCGTGTGCATGAGTATATATATATATACAGAGAGAGAGAGAGAAACAGAGAGAAAGAGACACCTCTGTATAAATCAATGTCGATATCTGACTAATCACCAATAGCTGCAACATTTTCTTGCAGTGCTTAAATGTCTCTTTTCTGAATGCAATTCTACTTAGATATCAAGGTCTGAAACAGTCGGAACGTTCGGCTATTAGCATTTGATACTGTTATTCTGGTATCTGGATCTTGTATCCAACAATCTCGAATTATATTTAGAATTTCTTCTATGGACGAATTTTGTGACCACGTGGAGTGAATTTTTGGACGAATGGATGGAAAATTTTTGAACATTTTAATCATATCATCTACAGAAGGATTTAGTGGACAGTAACCTTCGTAGGGCATCTGGTATGGATCATTGTGATCTAAAGTAAATTCTCTTTTGTTTTTTCAAATAGCTTAAAAAAAATGATCAATTAGAAACTCACCTTCAATACCTTCACACCTTGAAACAATTTCCCACAGTACCAGACCTAACGCATAGACATCACTTTTTAAAAATCCACTGTTATCTGAACTTATTGTGCACGCTAATATTTCGGGAGCCATATAACGTGGTGTACCACACTACAATGAAGGCAAAATAATATATGTTCGATCTTTTTACACGAAAGTACACATACTTGTATGTGTTGATTTGGCATTAGTGTACTTTGATTTAAACACACTGTCATTGCAAAATCACAAATACACACAGTCATGTTTTCTCTTATTAATATATTTTCACTTTTAAAATCACGATGTACTATTGAACAATGCTGTGGTAATGTACCATCGATCATACCTGATGATTGACTAACAGATGTTCGAAAATCTGTGTGCAGATAATTAAGACCTGCCGTAATTTGTTGAGCAAATTTTATAACTAAATCTAAACTTAATAAACGTTGTTTTAAAAATTTGTACAATGATCCATTTGCACAATATTCGGTAACAATCCAGTAGGTAGTTGGACTTAGTCCATTAGCTTCATTTTCGATACCAAAGTAAAATCTAAATACACGCATAAAATATTTAGAAGGTATAGCGGTAGGAATAATAAAGTAAAATAATTTGTATAAGACCGCAACAAAATACATATTAAGAATTTTAACTAAATTCAATAATTTTATTTGTCGATTTCGAGCTTTCGGTACTGACT